GGAAGTGATTTTCCCGATCCCATACCTCAAGGGGGCGAGATAGAGAGACGAGACGAGATTCCCCACTGAAAAGTGTGGAGAACCCAAGAGTAAAAGAAGAATTTACCCCGTGATACGTGGTGTGAGAACCCTGGGCATTGCGTTTTACGCACATTGACATCCTGTGAAGAAAAGTGAATGGCGAAGGTGTGTCTTTCTTGTGAACCGAACTAACAGCTCCATGGCAGAGACGACTCAGAAACCGCGCTTGACGACTAGCACCGTTAACAGTATGGCACCGATGAAAGACGCTGAAGAGATGAAGATTTCAGAACCCCTTCGGAAGGACGAGTATCGTTTAGGACAGTATAATTAAGAATTGAGCGACATTAAAGACAAGAAGATGACAAAGAACGACCCGGAATAACGTGACAAGAGAGGAGACGCTTATAGACTTTGACTTTAGCTATTTGTATAGAGAACTGCTCGCTGGACACTGTAACTGACACTGTGTAACTCAAGACGTTGAACTCTTTTCCACAACCCTAACCCTATTGCTCAGTAATGTAATGTATTGCTTGCTTTTCCTATCGTTTTTACCGTTTTTTTGTGATGTTGAATTGTATGTGTGTAAGCGCCCAGATCTTTGTTTTGAAGTGATATTTGGTGACATGCGAGGTCCTTTATAACGATTTATGCGCGCCTCAGTGGACAAGTATTTGCAACACAGTGTTTTGGAGTTTTGTGAATTTTTATGGTGTTTTAATGAGTTTATGAGTACGGATTAAGATGGGGAAAGTAATGCCCCAATGAGTTTTCAAGAGTTTTGAGATTTGTCGAGTACAGAGATACCGACGTTTTAAGAGTTGTTTTTGTTTATGTGTTGTTTTCCGGAATACTTCTGACGCTTTTTGAGTTTAGAGCACCTTTGTAATGTTTTTAATGTCTTTTTGAGATAGGAGTATGGTGTGCTTATATACGTATTGTTTGATATCGCAAGCTTTTGTTCATGATTGATAGGATTATATGTGACATAGTAGTTTCTATCGTTTTGCCTTTCCCGTCTTTTTTGCCGGAGGAGTAATGTGTTATGATAGATTTGTCTTTGCATTCCGTTTCCACGCTGTATGACTTGTGTTTAGATTAACAACTTGTGAGTTCAGTTGAAGTTTATAAGCGTATATGACAGGAGTTTGATTAATAGCTTTTTATTAATTGTTTATTAGTTACCGCTTTGCAATGCTTTAACCGAGAGACGCATCCCTGATAATCACGTGATCATGCTGTCGACTGCAGCGATTGGCTGATCGCTTGGTTACGCCGCCACGCATTAGTTTTTTTTGACCTTTTGATATAGAGTTTGTAACTTTAGTAACGGAGACAGTGCAGTGAAGGGTTACCTCAGCGAACCGTTTTGAGAAAAGTGAGTCGTTTGGTACCCTTTCCCTTGTTTTTGATTTATAACCGTTGATATTTGAAACTTTATAACCATTGTATTTAGACTTTATAATCATTGTACTTAATTAGTGTGTTTTACTCTTTTTGATTTATTCCTTTTATTAGTATTGTATTTAACCTGTATGACGATGAGTAGAGGACGGTATCTTTGATTTATGAACGTGTTATGCCGGGAGGCACAATCTCAGTTTGGGTGAAGGGATGTGTCATGAATTTGTTTTTGCGTATCTGTTAACCGACTTAATTAGCTGATTATTAGCTGAATTGCTGTGTTATGTCTGTCATCGTTTAGGCCTATTTGAAGTTTTGGACGGAACTTGGCTCAGTGATTTGGAACTAATTACCAGATAACCGCCCGCTATTTAGACTATTCATTTTGACAGTTTATATCCGTAGTTATTAATGTAGTGAGCGATTAATCAAAAGATATGACGTATTCAGTACTCAGTGTGACTGGCTTTATGATTGAAGGTTACGCCCTAGAGTCTTTGTACTGCTTTGTAATTGGTTAGAGTTTTGAAAATGAATA